CATTTCGGAGGTGGACGGTGACTGAGCGGCTGCCGGTCTGCAAGGAAATATAAGAGAGGGTATCAATTCTTCAGTTCAGTTGCAGCCTCATTAAAATTTCCACATCAACGCGGAACAAAGAGAGATCGCCATAACGGGACAAACAAGCAGACTGAGAATCGTCCAAATCGATTTAACTAAAGACAGTTTCTAGTTAACTTGTGTTGGGTGTGGAACTTCATCCCCGCCACCAGTACTCCAGTACAGAAAAGGTAAAGGAGAGAACGAGAGGGAGAGAGGGGAAGACAAAGATATATAGATTTATAAAGATGGAAGAAGGTAAATAGAGAGCAGGAAGGGGGCGGTAGAAAGAGTGAGAGAGGGAGAGAGCTGGAGAGAAGGAAAGAGAAAAAATGAGATAAAGAGAGAGATACAGGCGAGATAGATAAAAGAGGAATGGAAAGCGAGAGAGAGGGAAAAGGAGAGAGTGATGTGACAATGTACACACAAAAAACACACACAGCTATATATATATATATATATATATATATATATATATATATATATATATGAAAAAGAGAGGAAAGGAGAGAGATGGCAGAGGAAGGGATGGGGAAAGAAAGAAAGAGAGAGAAAGGAAAGGAGAAGAAAGAGAGGAGAGTAGAGGGTGTATGTGTGTATGTGTATATATATACATATGTGTGTGTATAATATATATGTACGAATATCTACACATACACAGATACATATATGTGTGTGTGTGTGTACATACATATATATACGAGATAGATAGATGTATGTGTGTAGGTATATGTGTGTATACATACATATATGTGTGTTTGTATACATACATATGTATACATGTATGTGTGTGTGTATGCGCACACATACACACATACACAAACACACACACACACACACACACACACACACATATATATATATATATGTATATATATATAAAGAGAGAGAGAGAGGGATGGAGAGATAGATAGAGGAGGGAGGGAAGGGAAAGAAAGAAAGAGAGAGAAGAGGAAGAGAGAGGGGAAAGAAGAAGAAAGAGAGATGAGAGACAGAGAGGAGAGGAAGAAAGATAGGAAAGGAGAAGAAAGAGAGATGGAGAGACAGAGAGGAGAGGGAAAAAGAGAGAGGAGAGGAGAGGGAGACAGTGAGAGAAAGTGGTGGGGGATAAAGAGAGAAGGAAAGACAGAGATAGATTCACGGAGATGGAAGAAGGGATAAAGAGAGGCGGAGGGAGTGAGAGAGAGGGGGAGGGTAGAAGGAAGAGTGAGAGAGAGAGAGAGCTGGAGAGAAGGAAAGAGAAAGATGAGACCGAAAGAAAAAGGGGGAATGAGGTGAGTAAAATAGAGAGAGAATGAATGGAGAAAGAGAAAGTTAGACAGATAGAGAGAGAGAAAGAGACGAGGGTAGAGAGATGGAGAGATACTGAGAGAAGGAGAGGAGATTATGTGAGTAAAAAGTGAGAGAGGGAAAGAAACAGAGAAGGAGGGAGAGGGTGAGAGAAAGAAAGACATAGAGAGAGGCGAGGAGAGGAAGAAAGAGAGGAGAGAGAAAGGCAGAGACAGAGAGAGAGAGCATAAGAAAGAGGGAGAAGGAGGGGGAGAGCAAGAGAGTGGGACAGAGAGAGAATCAGAGATAGATAGAAGGGATGAAAGAAGAGTTAGAGAGAGAGACAGATATACAGAAAGAGAGGGGGAGGCAGAGAAAGAGAGAGAATGAGTGAGGATGTGAAGGAGAAAGACAGAAATGGTAGAGGAAACAGAAAGGGGGAGATAAAGAAAGAGATAGATAGATCCATGTAGAGGTGGAAGAAAGGAAAGAGAGAGAGGGAGTGAGTGAGAGAGAAAGGGGGGGGGGGAGCCGGAGAGTGAGAATGAAAGTGAGAGAGGGAGAGGGAAGGAGGATGGAAGAGACATAATGAGTGAGAGAAAATGACAGATGGAAGGTGAGAGGGAGGAATTAAGGGAAAGATCTAAAGACAGAAGGAGAGAAATGGAGAGGAGAGGGAGAGAGCGTGAGAGAAGTGCGGGAGAGAGAGAGGATAGGAAGAGAAAGAGAAAGACAGTGAGAGGGTGGTAGAAGTGTGTGTGTGTGAGATAGGAGGGTGATAGAGAGAGGGAGGGAGAGAAAAAGAGAGAGAGAGAGAGAGAGAAAAAAAAAAAGAGAGAGCGAGAGAGAGAATAACAGATGGAGGGAGTAAGTGAAGAAAGAAGGAAGAGGGAGGAGGGAAATGGAGAGGAGAGAGAAAAAGAGAGAAAGAGAGAGAGGCAAAGAGGGAGGAGAAACAGAAAGAGATATATAGAAAGTGAGAGAGAAAGAGGGAGAGAGGCAGAAAGAGAGAGGGGAGAAATGTGGGACAAAGAGAGATCGAAGGGGAGTGAGAGAAGGAGACAGAGAGAAGGAAGAAGTGAGAGAGAGAGAGGAGAGGCAGTGTGTGGGTGTGTGTGGGGGGGGAGAGAGATGGGGGTAGGGAGAGGGAGAAAAAGGCAAAGAAAGAAAGGGATAGAGAGAAAGAGTGAGGAAGGGAGAAAAAGAGAAATTGAGTGAGAGAGAGAGGGGAAGATGGAGGAGAGAGAGAGTGAGACAGAGAGAATGACAGCGGAAAGGTGGGAGGGAGGAAATGAGGGAAGGAGTTAGAGAGAGGAGAGGGAGGGAGGGGAGAGAGAAAGAGAAATAGACAGAGAGGCAGATAAAATGAGACAGAGAGAAAGAGAGAGAGAAAGAAGGTGGGACGGAGAAAGAAAGAATGAATGAGAGAGAGAAACGGTAGATGAGAGAGACAGAAAGGGAGAGAAGGGAAAGAGACACACGTGGAAGGAAGGAGAGAGAGTAAAAGAGAAAGAAAGTTGGAGGGCGAAAGGTGAAAGAGGCAGACAGAGAGTGGCAGGGAGGCAGATAGATGGATAAACAGTGAAAGGAGGGAGGACGGGAAGAGAGAGAAAGAGAGACGGATAGTGAAAGTGATGGAGAGAGGAAGGGAAAAGAGAGAGAGAGATGTAGGGGCAGACAAAGTGAGTGACTGAGAGAGAGAGAGAGAGAGGGGAGAGAAAGAAAGCGAAAGATAGAGAGAGGAAAAAAGGCAGAGAGAGAGAGAGAGAGAAAGAGAGGAAAGCAGAGAGAGAGAGAGGCAAAAGGTGAGATAGGAGGAAGCGGGAGAGAAAGAGGGGGGGGAGACACAGAAAGTAATAGATAGAGAGAAACAGAGAGAGAGTTGGGGAGGAAGTGAGAGATAGATAGAGAGAAAGAGAGAAAGGGGGGGGGGATAGAGAGAGATTGGCAGATAGTGAGAGAGCTGGAGGGAGGAAGGGAAAAGAGAGAGAGAGAGAGGGAGAAAGAAATGAGAGAGAGATGGGGAGGAACGGAATAAGAGAAAGAGATAGAGAGAGAGGGTGGGAAAGAGAAAGAGAGAGAGATATGAGGGGAAGGAAACCACACACAGATAGATAAATAGATAGTTATATAAATAGGAAAAAGGTGAGACAAGGGAGAGTGAGGAATGGAGATAGAGGCCTACAGAAGGAGAAAGAGAGAGAGAAGGAGGGAAAGAGAGAAGAAATAGAGGCAGACAGAAAGGGAAAGAGGGAGAGATGGTGGAGGGAACAGAAAGAAAGGGAGAGAGGGAAAGAAATAGATAGATCCATAAGGAGACAGAAGAAGGACAAGAGGGTGAGATAGATAGAGAGAGATAGGGAGAAAGAGAGAGTGAGGTAAACGGTGAGAGAGAGAGAGAGACAAAGTGTGGAAGAGAGGGAAGAAGAGAAAGATACATGAATAAAAAAAAAAGATAAGAGTTAGATAGACAGAGAAGGAGGGAGAGAGGCAGACAGAAGAAGTGTGGGGCAAGGAAAGGTCGAGGGATAGTGAGAGAAAGAGTGAGACTAAGTGAGAGACATAGTGAGAGAGATGGAGAAGAAACAGAGAGAGAGAGAGAGACTGGGGAAGGGAGAGGAGAATTTAGGAATAAAAATACGTGAAAGGGAGACAGAAAAAGAGAGGAGGAGAGAGAGAAAAAAAGGACTGAGGATGGGAGAGAGAGAAAGAGAGGGGGGAAGTGAGAAGGAGAAAGAGATTGTGAAAGATAGAGAAAGTAGTGGGGGATAGAGAGAGGGGGAGATAGGGAAAGGCAGAGATAGATAGATTCTTTGAGATGGGAGAAGGGATAGAGAGAGAGGAGGAGTGAGAGAAAGAGAAAGATGGAGAGAAGAGGAAGTTAGAAGTAAAGAGAGAAAGGAAGAATGAGAGAGGGGAGGAGGGGGGAGGATGAGAGAGAGCGAGATAGATAGATAGAGAGAGAGAGAGGAGGTGGGAAGGAGAAAGAGTGTGAGAGAGAAAGTGGTGAGGAATATAGAGAGAGGGAGTGAGGTAAAGATAGAGATAGATTCATAGAGAGATGGAAGAAGGCACACAGAGAGGGATGGAGAGAGTGAGAGAGAGATGAGGAGGCCAGGAGAGAGAAAGAATAGGAGAGGGAGGGAGTGAGAGAGAGAGGGGGAGGCTGGGGGAAAGAGTGAGAGTGTTAAGGCTATTATAGAGGACCTTTAAACACTGGTTATGCAGGAGTAGTAATAGTTGTTAACACGGCAGACTCTATTTCTGAAGACTGCAACACGGATATAACAACACACGAGACGAATCTTGGGTAAGTGCCGAGTGCGGGGAGGTCGCGGCGGCGACCAGCCCTGTGGGGGCGGAAGGCTGGTGAGAATGACCTGAGCCCGCGGGAGCGAGGGCGCGTCTGCTGAGTGCGGGATCTGCCCTCCAGCCCTGAAAGGCCAGAGGCTAGGGCGACCTTGACATGGCGAGTGCTGGGCTCGAACTCTGTTAGCCCGGGTCATCCTTGCCATAAGTAGTGAGCGTCCACCGGAACGCCAGCTGCAGGAAGCGTGGGGGGAGCGAGGCGAGGTCACTTGTGACAACTGCTTAATGACATGCCATAGAGGTTTAATTTTAATTTAATTCCATTTGATACAATGGATATTCTTGGTGTGATATAGTGTCTGTTTTATTTTGCTTCTAAGTTATTCCCTGTGTGCAAGGAATGGCCATCCACTGGCGGCGAGGGATTTGAATGCAGGTCTGCAAGATTGCTAGACGAGATCGCTACCGCTGCACCACACAGCGAGAGAGCTGGAGAGAAGGAGAGAGACAGGAGAAGACATAGAGAGGGAGAAGGAGAGAGATGAGTAAGATAAAGAGAAAAGGAATGGAAAAAAGAAAGATAGAAAGGGAAATATATATATATAGAGAGAGGCAGACAGACAGACAGATGGAGGCAGAGAGAGGGAGAGAAGCAGTGTGGGAGAAAGAAGGAAACAGAGAGAGAGAGAGGCAGACAGACAGATGGAGGCAGAGATAGGGAGAGAAGCAGTGTGGGAGAAAGAAGGAAACAGAGAGAGAGAGAGAATGGGAGAAAAATAGAGAAAGAGAGAGAGCGAAAGAGTGTGAGCATGGGAGAAAGAGAGAGAGAAAGAAAGTGAGAGACAGTTTTAACTACGTGATAACAAGTAGCGCTATCATGACAAAGATTATACCACTGACCTCCGTGTTTTTTCACGATATGATTAGTATTACTGTTATCCATTGCTATAGATATATCATCATCATTAATGATCTTATCAATATTTTAATGTCACTATAATCATTATCATTACTATTATTAATATTAGTTTATTTTCGTTATCATTACCATCATCACTGTCATTATATTATTGTTTTCACTGTTATTATTAGCAGTAGTAGTATGATCATTATCAATATCTTTTATTATCATTATCATTATCAATATTATTTCTATTGCTATTATTCTATTACTTCTATTATTATCATTACTGTTGTTGTTATGAAAATTAATTTTATTACGATGCCATTATTGCTGTTGTTTATTAATAAGGATACTTTTACGTCATTACCCTTTTTATTATTATGATCATTATCATTATCTTTTTCTTCGCCCTAAAAATCACTGATAGAACTAGCATTATCATGCTCCTACTTTGACCATTCCTGCAATCACTAGAGTTACCGTAGCCTGAACAAACAAATAATTAGTGATGTAATTATGATAAGTCTTGCAACAATACTGTCATTATCCTCTCTTAACCATTGTTATTGTCCATGTCCTCATTATCTTCAGTATTGCGCTCTTTATCATCATTATTTTCATGAGATTCTCGTAAACAACAAATTGGTGTTTATTGCTGTTGTGCTCGTCATTATCATTATCATTACAATTGTTATTGGTATTATTACTATTATTCACTATCATCATCATTATCACATTTGATATATTTCTTATTGCTATTATTGTTATCCTCATAATTATCAGTTGTTATTATTAAGAGAGTATTTTATAATATGATCTCTAATTTAATCATTATCATTATATTTAGTGGGCATCAAATTTGGCACAATTTTGGGCGCCAAAACAGCCACCTGAAGTTGTTGTTTTCGTTAGAAACGCTTGTAGTTGTCCGATTTACATGTTCTAAGTGTGAATTCCTATGTTTTCCAGCCTGCTGATGTATATTTTCCTGTTTATAACATGGTTAAAGCACTCTGACACATGTAATTCTCATTTTGTACTTTGAACTTTGCAACGGAGGGGTGTAGTGGTAGAGGTAGCACCTTTATTTCAGCAGTCAGCCACATCCATTGGATGAACTACTGACACTGGTCCTCACCGCTGGCCCAACGCTCTTCTATGGCTCCAAGAAAATTCTTGGTGCACGGCATCGGCCACACCCTGGTAAACCGCGTTGGCTCGCGGGCTACACTGGATGAGGATAACACACAGAAGGTCTCTGCGTGTGATGGAGTATATCTACCTCTGAAACATTCACATGCACATTGATCACCGTCTTGAAGGAGTGATTGTCAGGCACACCAAGGCACATTGGTGACATCACTGCTGTGAAACTCAGCATGGGGTTCAGTGTCAGCTATGTAGGAAATTTATGTTGGCTTCATACTGCAACAACCTACTAGTATCGCAAGTGCTTCCTGTAAGATGGGTTGCAAAGGAAGATGCAAGTGCTCTCAGGCAGAGCTCCCCTGCACGTCACTCTGCAGCTGCACATGTGAACAGTAGCAGATGGAGGACCAGCGGCACAACTTTGAAAATTTACTAACCCACACTTAGATCATGTAAATCGGACAACTACAAGTGTGTCTAACGAAAACAACAACTTCAGGTGGCTATTTTGGCGGCCATCTTGAAAAATGGCCGCCATCTTGGATTTTCAATTAGCCAATCGGACAGATTGGATAAGTATCCCTTGGAGAACAATTGTGCCAAATTTGATGCTTGTATTTGCACGATTTTTCTATTATCTGCCCCACTAATTATTATTGCTATTACCGTTATCATCATCATCGTTATTAATGTTATAACTTATTATTATTATTTCATTCATTATTATTATTTATACAATGTAAGAAATATTATCATTTATAATCGTTATTATGCATATTATCATTACTATTATTGCGATTACTACGTCTATCATTACTATCATTATATGAATATTAAAAAATATATATATATATTATAAATCATCATTATTATAACTATTGTCATTGATATTACTAATGTTATTATTATCACTATGTGCATTACTAATATTGGCATTATTATCATGAACATTGTTATCATTGTTATTGTTGTTATCATTATTATGAATGTTATTATTTTTATTATATTTACATTAATATTATTATTATCTTATTTATTATATTTTTTATGACGATTGTTGTTATTGTTATTCGTATCGTTATTATTATTATTATCATTATCATTAATATCATTATTGCCATTATAATCAACAATATTATCATTATTATCATCATTACTATTATCATTATTACCATTATTATTATCGTTGTAAACATTGGTATCTTTTAATCAATAATGATAACACTAGCATTATGCTATAATTACTGTTATTATTGTCACATTTACTGCAATTATAACATACCATCGGTCTAAGAATAAAATGACAATTAGGGCTATTATCACGATTAGTATGTCATTGTTATAATCTTGATCGTTATCCTAATGACGGGTGCATGCCAGGCTCGACGTCCCGATCAGGCAAGCCCCTGGTCAGGACGCCGAGCCAGGGATCAGGAACCCCCGGCCGCAAATCGGGGTCGGAGTCACCTCCTCCGGGATGGCTCCGACCCTTCTCTCCTTTCTTGGTTTGCCTGCTGGTGAGGGTTTTCATGGGACCGGGTTGCCAGCCTGACCCCAACAGCTAGCTAGCGGCAGGGACGCAGAACTCCCTGGGGACAGATTGCCCCTGCTACCCATAATCCCACTATTGCCTGTGAAATAAATGGTTCGACAATATACAACAATAGTCAGTCATTATTACGCAATAATTTCACTAAATTTCTTTGCATTGCAAACCACGCGTAAAACAATATATACAGGGGAATATAGACAGCGTTTTCTTTAACCAGGGTTTGACCCTGGCTCTTGTTGACTATCTTAGCATTCGACAGCCTTACTGGAAACGGAGTTCTGTTCGAAGTAAAAGAAAAAATGCTGGGATCCCCAGTGGCTCGCGTTTCCCCTTCCATTCCCTTTCCCTTCCCTTTCTTTCTTCCCCTTCCCTCTCCTTCCACCACTCCCCTTCCTCTTTCTATTTCCTCACTCTCCACTCTCATTTCCCCGTTTCCTTTCCTCTCTCTCATTTCCCCTTTCCCTTCACTCTCTCTCTACCTTCCCTCTCGCCTTCCTCTCTCTTCTTCCCTTCCCTGTCTCTCCACCTCTCCACTTCACTCTCCGTCTCTCACTTCCCTTTTCCCTTTTCTCTCTCCTTCACTCTCCCTCCTCTCTCGTTCCCTTCCCTATCTTACTTCCCCTTTCCTCTCTCTTTCCATTTCCTTATCTCTCCACCTCTCCCCTTCCCTCTCCATCTCCCATCTTTCTTCCCCTTCCCTCTGTCACATCCACTTTCATTTTCCTTTCTCTCTTTACCTTCCCACTCCATTTCATCCTACCTCTCACTTCCCCTTTCACTTTTCTCTCTCTCATTCGATCTCCTTCCACCTCTCCCCTTCCCTCTCTCACTGCCCTTTCCCTTTCCTCTCTCTCTTTACCCCCCCCCCTCCTTCTCTCACCCTTCTCCTACCCCTCGCTTTCCCTTTCCCTTTCCCACTCTGTGTCTCCCTCTCACTCACAAACCTTTAAATTCACTCCTTCCTTCCCACGAAAATCACTTGAAGCACAAGTAGAATTATAATGATAATAGTGATAATAACTGTAATAATGATAGTAACAATTATTATCATTACGATCATAAAGATAAAGATAGTCAAAGAAATAAAACAGAGTAAATTATTTACATCAAAATTAAACGAATGATAACAATAATAGTAATAGTAATAAATATACCACAGGATTCTGTCTCATTGGTAATATGGTGCTTTGTGTTCCTCCTTTGCGTGTCATTCCTTGTCCATTATTACCCCGCTTTACATGGGAATGAATCAATAAACAATGTTAGATAAGGGGGATACTACCTGAATGACAGGGAGGAAGGGAGAGGAAGAGAGAGAGAGAGGGGGGGGGGTGGAAGGGGGAGATATAGAGAAAATGTGAGATAGGAGGAGGGAGGGAGAGAAAGAGGAATAGAGACAGAATGAGGGAGGTAGATGGAGAGAGAGGGGGGAGAGGGAAGGAGAAATAATGAGAAATATGAAGGGAGGGAGGAAAGGAGCGAGAAAGATAGATAGAGGAAGGAAGGGAGAGAGACAGAAAAGGATCCGCAGGACAGATCGCAGTCTCTCCCTTTCTCGAGTCCGCACAACAACCAGAAAGGCCGAGATTGTGCCGGAACCTTTTCTTACCTGAGGCGCTGTTGACGGTCTGAGCGAGACGCTTCCCTTGCTGTCGCCCGGCTCGGGTGTCGACAGGGCCCTCGCGGCGAGGTCAGGTGAGGCTCCTAGAACTGCACTGGCTCGGGCGCATGCGGACACCTCGACGTCAGGCAAGCAACTGCAAATTGCAAGGTAATCTGTCGGTGTTATCTCAGCTTCGGCTCCGCCCTGTGCCGGGCGAGCGAGAGAGGAAGGGAAGAAGGGCGAGGGAGAGAGGAGGGGAGAGATAAATAGATAGAAAAAGAGTGGGAGCGAACGCGAAGTAGGTAAGAAGAGAGAGAGAAATATAAGAAGTAATTAGGGAGAGAGGACGGAAATGAGAGGGATATCGCGAGAGAAATTCAGAGAAAGAGATATATAGGGAGCGAAAAGGAAGAGAGAGAGGGAAAGAGAAAACGTGATATTGGGGTAGGAAGGGAAAGAGAGAGTAAGCAAGAGAGAGAGGAGGAGGGAATGAGGAGATAGAGAGAGAGATAGAGAGAAAGAGAGAGAGAGAGAATGTGTGTGGGGGGAGGAGAAGAAGAGAGACAGAGAGGGGAAAAGTGGAAAAGAGATTGGGAAAGAGAGAAAGAGATAGAGCAAATGTGAGAGAGAGCATGGAAGAAAAGGAGAGAGAAAGGGAGAAATAGAGCATAGTGTGTGAAAGTATAAGAGAGAAAGGGAGGACGAGAGAGAGAGTGAGACGGATAAAAGAAGGGTGAGAGAATGGAAGAGAGAGAGAGAGAGCTAGACAAAGAGAATGGTGGATACGCAGAAATAAAGAGAGAGAGAGAAGGGGGGGAGACAAGAGAAAGAGAGAGGGTGGGAAAGAGAGGAGTGAGAAAGATCGAGCAAGAAAGAGAGAGAGAGGGGGGGGGGGATAGAGGGAGGAAAAGAGAAAGAGATGAAGAGAAATTTAGGGGGATAGAGCGAGGAAGGGAGGGAGGGTGAAATAGATTTAAAGAGGCGTGAAGATGAGAGAGAGAGAGAGGGAGGGGATGAGGAGAGAGTGTAGTGAAGGAAAGGTTTAGGAAAGTTAGATAGGCAAAGAGAGTGACAGAGAGAGAGGAGTGGAAGGAATGAGAGAAAAAGAGAGAGAGACAGAGAAACTGACAGTTAGCTAGAGATAGATAGAAAGAGAGGGAGAGTGAAGTTGAAGGGAGAAACAGATAGAGGAAAAGAGAGAAAAGAGACGGTGGTAGAAAACGGAGAGAGGGAGGAATAAAGAAAGAAATCGAGAGAGGGTAAAAAAGAGGAAGAGGAGAGAGAGAGAAAGAACGCGAGGAAGAGAAAAAAGGAGAGGCAGATTGAGAGAGAGAGAAAGGGAGAAGAGGAGGAGGCAAATGGGAAGAGAAAGAGAGAGAGAAAAAAAAGAAAAAGGATAAGAAAGAGTGTGATGTATAAATGGGGGAGGAGAAGAACAATAGAGAGTAAGAAAAGGGGTAAAGGGAAGATAAAGAGAGAAAGAAGGAGAGAGAGAGAAAATAGAACATGGAAATGTGGAGTGGATAGATAAACAGATGGAGATATAAAGATATATGGGGTTAGAACAGGAGAGAGAGAAAAAAGGGGGAGGGGGGAGACAGATAGAGAAAAAGATAGATGAGGGAGAGAGAAAGAGAAAGAGAGGGAAGGAAATAGGGATGGAGGAAGAGAGAGAAGGGGAGGGAAGGATGAAAATAGAGAGATTGTGGAGGGTAGAGAGTAACAGAAAGAAGAAGAAAACAGAGAGAGAGAGGGGGGGATGGGAGGAAGGGAGGAAAAAAGAAAAGAAAAGAAAGACAGAGAGATAGAAAGAGAAAAGAGAGAGATGGAGGGGGGTGGGGGCGAAAGAGAAAGAGAGATGGAGAGTTGGGAGAGAGAAAGCGCGGGAGGGAGAAAGGGAATAATGGAGTATGAGAGGCATGAAGAGAAAAAAGAGAGAGAGGGCTAAACAAAAATATAGGGGGAGTGAGATAGAGAGAGAGAAAGGGGAGGGAAGCAAAGATGAAAAGAAAAAATGAGACAGAGAAAAAAAATTGTAGAGGGGAAGAGAGATAGATAGGAAGACTGACAAACAAAGAGAGAGAGAGATAGTGACAGAGAGTGATAATTAGAAAGAGAGAGAATTATAGAGAGACTGACAGACAGAGAGAGAATGGTAGAGAGACTGACAGACAGTGAGAAAGAGAGAGAGGGAGAGACAGAAAAAAAGAAGGGAGGGAGAGAGAGATAGAGGAGGGGGAAGGGAATAAGAGAGAGATAGAAAGGGGGAGGGATCAAATTAGAGAGAGGGGGGGGAGGGAGGAAGAAAAAAAAGAAGAAAGAGAGTGAAAGAGAGAGAGACAGAGCGAAAGGGAGAAAGAAAGAGAAAAAGAGAGAGAGGTAAGTAAGGAGTGTAGAGAGAGAGAGTGGGAGAGGCATGACGAGAGTGAGAGAGAGAGATGGGGGGAGAGAGAGAAAGAAAGGAAAGGAGGAAGAGAAATATAGATAGAGCAAAAGAGAGAAGCTGAGGGAGAGAAAGAGAGATAGAGATAGAGAGAGAAATAGGGAATGAGAGAGAAAGAAAGAGAGAGGGAGAGAGGGAGAGGGAGAGAAGGGAAGGGCAGAGAATGAGGGAAAGAGGTAGAGCAAAAGAAAAAAAAGTATTTTCAAGAAAAACGTTATCACTGAGGTGGTGAATGATAAGAACGTATTCCTAAGCTGTATAATCCTGTTCGTGGCACTGCGAACGGTTATGAGAATAAACACAAAGGTAGAGATAATAATAGTGCGCAAAGATCATACTCAATAGCGAAAATAATAATAACAATGGTGATAAAAACAATAATGACACTAATGGTAATAACAATCATTGTTGCTATTAGCAGTAACATTTGTATTATTATTATCACTATTTTTATTATTTTTTTTAAGATTAATTTGTAATGATGCTATGATGAGAATAAGAATAATGATAGTATGATAGTAATAATAATAATAATAATAATAGTAATAATAATAGTGAAAATGATTATAATGGTACTAGTAATTATGATGATTATTATTATCATAATAAGAGAGAGAGAGAAAAAAAAACAAGAACATTATTTACTACTGTTCATAAAAAAATACTGCAAAGAAAATATGAAATGATAACGATAATAAATATCATTATTATAATGATATTAAGAAGGATTTTCAACATTATACTGCTAAACATTAGAATGGTGGTAAGCAGTAATATAATGATAGTATAGCGAATAATATTAGTAATGAATAATAAAAATGCTAATGACCATAATGAAAATAATGATGGTAATAATGTTGTTGATAACACTCACAATGAAAAGAATGATAGTAATAAGAAGGATAATAGTAATAGTGATAAGAGGAGTAATGCTTCTAATAATAATAATGATAATGATAAGTTCACCAGTAATAACGATGAAAACAATGAAATTTAAATATTATGGTTATGATGGTTAAGATGGCAATATTGATAACGATAATGATAAGAATATTAGTCATTGCAATAATAATAATAATGGTAATAATAATGATGACAATAATAATAATGGTAATACAATAATGATGGTAATAATTATAGTAATAATGATAATGAAAATAATAATAATAATAATATGGATAACATTAATGATAATAATAGTAAAAGTAAAAATTACTAATAATGATAATGAAATTGGTATTAGTATAGATGACGATTATAACAACAAAAATGTAAAAACGATAAAATGATACTAATGATAATAAGTTATAACGATGAAAATCATAAGAGTAATGATAATAATATATAGTATGAAAACAGTGTTGATGATAATGAAATACTACTACTAAGGACAGTGATGATGATAATATAATAATGATAAAGACGGTAATAATAATAATAATTATGATAACAATAATTATTTTCATACTGATAATAGTAGTAATAATGGTAATACTGCTACTACTAATGGTAATTACAGTAATAATGATTTTGATACTAATTACGATAATAATAATAGTAATGATAATAATAAGAAGAAAAAATACTTATGATAATAATATTCATGAAAATGGTAATACTGATAATGATAAAAGAATATATCAATGATAATGATAGTAATAATAACGATAATGATAATAATAAATATTATAATAATAAAAAAGAAGATAAGTTATGATATTAACATTAATGGTAGTAAAACTATTATCATTGGTCATTATTATAGTCAGTATTGTTATTATTTTAATTTACCCATTAATACTGTTAATATCACCTTTATTACCAATATTATTATCATAACAACATCATTACAATGATAATATTGTTGATAATTAAGATAATGATACCAACAACTACTTCAGCTAATGATAACAATAATCCTAATGATAATAACGATAATGAAAATAATCCTGGTAATAATTGGAACAATTATGAAAATGATTTTGATAGTAACAATTATAATGATTATAGTTATCACTTTTAATTATCATTTTTTATATCTTTCTTTATTTTATTATCATCCTTATAATCGTATTCATCATCAGCTTTATTTTCATTCTCATTTTTATAATTTATTATCTTTTATAGTTGCTCTCTGCGCACCAAAGCCCCGACCAGGATTTTGCATTTCCCCTCTCTCGTCCCTTCCCTCCCATCTCTCTCTTTTTCCTTTCCTCTCTCTCTCTTCCTCTTTCCCTCCCCTTCTCTATCTATTTCACTTGCCCTCTTTTCCACTTTCTCCCCTCTCTCTATCTCTCTCCCCTACCCCCCTTCTCTCTTTTCGATCTTTCCCTCTCTCTCTCTCTCTCTTCCTTTTTCCATCCTTCACCCCTCTCATTCTCTCCTTTTCTTGTTCTCTCTCTCTTACTCTCGTAATCTTTTTCTCTTCCTCCTCACTCTCTAGCTCTTTCTCTCCTACTCCATCTCCTTTCCTTTCTTTCGCTTTCTCTTTCCCTCCTTCCCTCTTTTCTCTCTTTCTCTTTGTGTCTCTTTATTGCATTGTGTAATATAAACTAGGCTAACATTACTTCTGTGATAAGTGTAATTATTGTCATTATCATCAGTCTTATTACCATTTTTATTGTTATTGTTGTTCTTGCTATTGTCAGTAATATCATTATAATTATCAACATTGTTCATATTATCATTAGTATTATTATTGCCTATATCAA